TTGATTTAAATTAGAAAGGATACGTGTCTGTGACCCGTTAAAAAATACTAACATTTGTTTCCCGGGGATTAATTTTACATGCGCAAAAAGCAGCAGACAACAGAACATGAGGATTCACATGGTCATATCACATCACGCACATGCAGCGCTTCTGTGAGCGGAGAAAAACATAATAAAGCTAGGCTATAGGCCTATATATATAACGATAAATAGGCCTATACGAGAAATATATTTTTACTTAAATAATAAATGAAGAAAACAAAAGAAAAACTGTGCAACAAGTAGCCTATTCAGAGTTTGTTCATTTTTGTGCTGCGCGAAAGGAAACAGACGGCAGAAAGCAGCATCCTATTTTTCTTTAGGCTTATTTTACAAAAGCACAAAGATTTGTTTTTATTTTGAATGTACACAAAGTTAAGCTTTGCTACCTTGACAATGCAGCCTGTTCATTATCATCATAAAATACAGTCAGTCAAACATATGGGAAAAAACACACTGCTCAGTTTAAATATGTAGTAAAATCTGTGCCGTTAAGTGTTATCACCATACCGCCATGAATGATGTTACGCAAACCATTTTGTTTTACATGGATATTGGAATGCGAATGAAGTAGGCTACATAATAAATAATATTTTGTCATTCAAATACATCGCGGATACGGAAACATTTGATTTTGTGTCGAATAAGAGACCCAACGTTGGGTTCAGTTTTGTTTTAGCCTAAATGAATTTGTTTTGGCTTGTCGTTTAGCTAGCTTCTTATATTTTTAATTCTTGTTCTTTTCTAAATACTATTAATTGAAAGGATTTGTTGTAGAGTAAGGGGAACTAAAATAGCCTAGCTATGTTTACAGTGTTTATTATAATGTTTGTAAACATTTTGTGTGTGCATTAGGCCTATTTCTGAATGAAATAATAAAATGCGACTTAGACGCTACTTATGGTTTTTTTCCCCTCTAAAAAAAACGCAGTTTTTTTTATACGCGTAGCGTATTTCAACCATGCAGCAAACCTTTTTAAATATTTTGATAAATTACAAAAAAAAAGTTAAATAAATAAATAAACAACTTTTTAAACCGTTTAACTGATTGTATTAATCGGTCAAAATTCTTCACGGTCGGTTAACGGTTAACCGGTTATGAACATCCCTAAATGTGCGGCAACTATAGTTACCGGTGGGCAAATATGTTCTATGCAACCCTTCAATGTCAAATTTGAATAGGAGGAGAGCATTTTGCATCTCACTCAAAATAACTGCTTTCAACAGATCAATCTTTATTCATAAACAAATTTATTATGCATAAAAGTCGAAGAACATTCGATGCAAACCCCAAAAAAGCTGCATCTATCTTATAATCTCTTGATTATGAAAACACAACAAATCCATTTGTCTTAAAGTGGTGGAACATAGTGCAGAACAGGTATACCTGAAAGAAAATTACGCATTTGTTTAGGCCCATAGTATTCAATGTCTGACTGAAGTAGGTGATTTCATATAATAATGTAAATGTAAACTCATTACTGATGAATTTCAACATCATAATGAAATCATAAGCTACTAGTCATAAAATGAATTAGGGTCCTTGACCAATTAGAACAAAACGCATCCAAACTGGATAAAGGGGCCTCAATATTTTGCCCCTTACAAGACATAATGTCATAAAAGGGGCGAAAAAGATCATCTACAGCAATTAATCCCATGCGTTAGCTCTTTCTCTTTCCATTCTTCCTTTTGTGTGACTGACGGAAGTCTGTAAACTGCTGCTGTCACTTGAAAACTGGAAATCCCCCTCCCCCCATGGCAAAAGCAGACACAGAAGTGTAGTTGAGCTGAGGAAAGATTGCTCTCTCATCTCCTCCTTTTGACAGATTTATTCCCTATCAAATTAAGGTCTACTGTACAGCAGATATGTCAGTTAAAGGGTTAAGTTATATTTTAGGGATATTATGAAAGCAAATAGCTCTAAACAAGACCAATAACCTTGATTTATTAACCTATTAACACAGTATACCCCATCATACAAAGGAGACAAAGATAATCTACAGCAATTAATCCCATGCTTCAACTCTTTATCTTTCCATTCTTCCTTCTGTGTGACTGACTGAAGTTTGTAAACCGCTGCTGTCACTTGAAAACTGTAGAAGTGGGGCAGTAGAGCTGTGAAAAGATTGCTCTCTCATCTCCTCCTTTTGACAGATTTATTCCCTATCAAATTAAGGTCTACTGTACAGCAGATATGTCAGTTAAAGGGTTAAGTTATATTTTAGGGATATTATGAAAGCAAATAGCTCTAAACAAGACCAATAACCTTGATTTATTAAAATGAAAAATTGTGTGTTTGATTGGTCCAGACGCTACAAAGTGCAGCAATTAAGTTGCCCCAACAGGATATTGTGTATCAAAAGTTAAATGAAAATAAATAAATAAAAATAAATAGAATGAAGAAAATATTACATCTATATAAGAAAAAAAAAATTACGCATTTAACTCTTTGGTTACCAACATTCTGCAAAATATCTTCTTTTGTGCTCAACAGAAGAAAGAATCTCATAAGTTTGCAACTTGAGGGTGACTAAATGATGACACAATTTCCATTTTTGGGTGAACATTCCCTTACATAAGCAGTAAGCAGGCCTACAAGTAGCCTACAAGGAGTACTGCAGTGAAGGTACAAGTAGTTTTATAAATTTACATAAACATATTTGCATACTATACTTTGTGATGTAAATATGTAAAATATCACATATTTTATGAATAGGCACATATTGATTAGGTCAAATGGATTAACCCTGACAAAAGTCCTTGATATTCATGAAATTAATTCTATTCTTTTTTTAAATATATGATTATTTAAATAATTATCATGTGTAGGCTACACTCATGGTTGTTTGTTTGTTTATTTATTTAATTATTATTGAACATGCAGGTATTTTCTTTCTTAGAGGTGTGTTAGTTAAATGAAAATAAACAGAATGAAGAAAATATTACATCTATATAATAAAGAAAAGGTATACCTGAAAGAAAATTACACATTATTTAGGCCTATGGTATTCAATGGCTGACTGTAGTAGGTGATTTCATATAATAATGTAAATGCAAACTCATTACTTGTCTGAATTTCAACATTATAATGGAATCATAATCTACTAGTCATAAAATGAATTAGGGTCCTTGACCTACTAGAATGAAACGCATCCAAACTGGATAAAGGGGCCTCAATATTTTGCCCCTTACAAGACATAATGTCATAGGGAGAAAAAAAGATAATCTACAGCAATTAATCCCATGCGTTAGCTCTTTATCTTTCCATTCTTCCTTTTGTGTGACTGATGGAAGTTTGTAAACTGCTGCGGTCACTTGAAAACTGGAAATTCCCACCCCCATGTCAAAAGCAGACACAGAAGTGGGGCAGTAGAGCTGTGGAAAAATTGCTCTCTCATCTCTTTTTGACAGATTTATTCCCTATCAAATTAAGGTCTACTGTACAGTAGAGATGTCA